CTGGGATCGGGAATGGGATCGGGATACTGGGATTGGGAATAGGATACTGGGAATGGGAATGGGATATTAGGAATGGGATACTGGGATCGGGAATGGGATCGGGATACTGGGATTGGGAATGGGATACTGGGAATGGGAATGGGATATTAGGAATGGGATACTGGGATCGGGAATGGGATCGGGATACTGGGATTGGGAATAGGATACTGGGAATGGGAATGGGATATTAGGAATGGGATACTGGGATCGGGAATGGGATCGGGATACTGGGATTGGGAATGGGATACTGGGAATGGGAATGGGATATTAGGAATGGGATACTGGGATCGGGAATGGGATCGGGATACTGGGATTGGGAATGGGATATTGGGAATGGGATCACCGAGGAGATCAAGCTGCGATCCCTGGGTGAGCCGGGATCGGGAATGGGATACTGGGAATAGGATACTGGGAATGGGATCACCGAGGAGATCAACCTGCGATCCCTGGGTGAGCCGCGATCGGGAATGGGATCGGGAATGGGATTGGGAATGGTAATGGGATATTAGGAATGGGATACTGGGAATGGGGTACTGGGATCGGGAATGGGATACTGGGAACGGGATCACTGAGGAGATCTATCTGCGATCCCTGGGTGAGCTGGGATCGGGAATGGGAATGGGATACTGGGAATGGGATACTGGGATCGGGAATGGGATACTGGGAATGGGACAGGAACCTCAGGAATGGCACCAGGACAGTGGAAATGGGACAGAGACACTGGGAACGGCACTGGGCTCCCAGGAGCTCCCCAGGGATCCCGGGAGCTCCCCAGGGATCCCAGGAATTCCCCAGGGATCTCAGGAGTTTCCCAGGAATCCCAGGAGCTCCCCAGGAATCCCAGGAGCTCCCCAGGGATCCCAGGAATTCCCAGGAATTCCCCAGGGATCCCAGGAATTGCCCAGGGCTCCTGGGATCAGAGCTGGCCGTGCTGTAGCGTCGCCGTGCCGGGCTGAGCCGTTCCCCGCCCCCATTCCTGAGCCCGATCCCGATCCCATTCCTGATCCCAGAGAACTACGAGCGCCTGGAGGCCGACAAGAAGAAGCAGGTGCAGAAGAAGAGAAAGATCGTGGGCCCCGTCATCCGCTACTGGTCCCTGACCATGCCCCTCCTGCCCGAGCCCGGCCGCGACGACCCCGTGGACGTCGAGGGGTGAGTGGCACCCCCCTCCCGAATCCCAGCGCGGATCCGACCCCGGAGCTGCTCCAGGGGTTGGGCAGGGTTCCCCATTCCCAAAATTCCCGGATTTGGGGGCTGAATCCCAACCCCAGAGCTCCTCGAATCCCAAAGAAATCCCACTGGAACCGCAGTTTTTGGGGACAGTTTGATGATCCCAAATCCCACTGGAACCGCAGTTTTTGGGGACAGTTTGATGATCCCAAATCCCATTGGAATCGCAGTTTTTGGGGACAGTTTGATGATCCCAAATCCCATTGGAATCGCAGTTTTTGGGGACAGTTTGATGACCCCAAATCCCATTGGAATCGCAGTTTTTGGGGTCAGTTTCACCATCCCAAATCCCACTGGAATCGCAGTTTTTGGGATCAGTTTGATGATCCCAAATCCCCTTGGAATCACAGTTTTTGGCCATCCCAAATCCCACTGGAATCGCAGTTTTTGGGGGCACCGTGATGATCCCAAATCCCCTTGGAAGCTCAGTTTTTGACCATCCCAAATCCCACTGGAACCTCAGTTTTTGGGGACAGTTTGACCATCCCAAATCCCCTCGGAACCTCAGTTTTTGGGGTCACCACCTCTTCCCCCCAAACCCTCCATCTTCCATCACCCTCCCACCCCTCTCCCGCTGCTGTTCCAGGCTGGATCCCGACTCCCACTCCTCCTCCTCCCCGTTATCCGCCGGGAAATGCTCCCGCACCTTCATCTCCTTCAGCGACGACGCCACCTTCGAGCGCTGCTTCCCCAAATCCAAAGCGCCGCGGCTGCCGGTGCGGGAGCTGTGCCCCGTCACCCACAAACCGGCGCTCTACCGCGATCCCATCACCGACATTCCCTACTCCAACGCCCGCGCCTTCCGCATCATCCGCGAGGCGTACCGCAAGTACATCACGGCGCACGGGCTGCCCAGCGCCGCCGCCATGGCCGGGGGCGGCGACAGCCCCGCCGCCGCGCGCCCGGGGAGGCAGAAAATCGTCATCAAGCAGAGCGTTCCCAGCGCTTGAAATCCCGGGATTTTGGGATGTTGGGATTTTGGGATTTGGCGGGATCGGGATATCGGCGTGGACGGCGGGCGCGGTTTCCTTGAGGGGCTGCCGTGAAGAGCGGCAGGAATTGGTCGTCAAACGAAGCGTTCCCAGTGCCTGAAATCCTGGGATTTTGGGATGTTGGGGTGTTGGGATGTTGGGATTTGGGATGTTGGGGTTTTGGGATTTTGGGATTTGGCGGGATCGGGATATCGGCGTGGATGGCGGTGATCGTTTTCTTGAGGGGCTTCCAGGAAGAGCGGCAGAAATTCGTCATCAAACGAAGCGTTCCCAGTGCCTGAAATCCTGGGATTCCGGGATTCTGGAGTGTTGGGATTTGGGATTCTGGGGCATTGGGATTTAGGGGTTTCAGGATTTGGGATGTTTGGGTTTCAGGGTTTGGGATTTT